TTTGTAATTTACGGATTTATCATCCTCTTTGTTGTTTTGGTACCGAATCCGTGTAACATTGCATTGTGAAATTGTGATATCATAATGCAGAACTGAGACAATGTGCATCTATCTATCTATCTATCTATCTATCTATCTATCTATCTATCTATCTATCTATCTATCTATCTATCTATCAACATTCATTCATGTTAAAACACTAATTTTGGACAATTTCTATTGTTCGATTCATTATGATATATTTACAAAATTTAAAAAACAGGTGGTGTTTTCAAATAGGACAGTGGTGATATTCTTTCACACCAAAATGATGCACACTTTTGAATCAAGTCAATGCGTTTTTTTCAGTGCATGTAAAAGGTTACAGCCAAATATAAATCACTGTCTAAATTACTAGCCTATCACATTGGCACTGCATTATTAAACACTTTACAAACCTCACCAAGAATCTAATCAAGACATGAGATAAATAGCAAAAGCAAAGCTCCAGCAGTCCAGAGAGAATGAGAGAGAGAGAGAGAGAGCGAGAGAGAGAGAGAGAGAGAGAGAGAGAGAGAGAGAGAGAGGTATTTATGTTAGCAGCTCAGCTGGGTGCAGGCTGGATGAGACCCCTCATGCATGTTTAAGCAGTTGTCAGTCACACCACATGCATTCATATTCACGTTTAAAAGGTCAGTCCTCCACTACTCACTCATACAGAAAGAGCTCATCTTAAAGCATCCACAGCCATTCCCCTAATCAGCACTACAGGGATCTAATATGCTGACAGTCATACGTTGGAATCAATAGCACAGCGATTTGTGTAAACCTCTTAAATTCTCCAGCTTAGTACATCCTAAGGCTTATTATTCAGTAACGACATGGAAATTAATGCAAACTAGCTGAGTTATTCCCAAGTTATGGGAGTGAGTAATGGAATTCTGGTCCTGTGGGTGGGCTGTGGCCTTTAAATGGTCTTAAATCAGTTGTAATTTCATTTTAATGCAGCTAGTGGACAACTCTATAACTCAATATGCTTACATTGACTTTAACAGCTAGGGAATAACAACTGAAAGACTGTTCAGCACCAAAACAAATTGATACATTAGTAATGACATAAAAGAACCAAAGTCAAAGAAAGAACAATATATTGGAGTTAAGCTTCAATGAATCACTGATGCCTAGAGCCAAGTCACGATAAACAAAATTAATGTCATCTGTGAGTTTAACAGGCTTGGCTTTGTCGGGTCGAATCTGCAGCACTACTGATTAACAAAAGTTTGGGTCATAACTAAGAGCTGTGTTCTTGTGAAAGCTCTATCACACAGAGCCTTATCCTGCTTTTATTAATGTCTAAATGAGAATAAGCCACTAAACTGTACGCCTTGACACAAAATCACACTAGCTTTCTTAGTGACCTCCCAGGGCTCTGAAACGCCTTGTCTTTTTTCCAATAAGGGACAGAAAAGGACTCTGATGATCTGTAAATGGAATTAATGGAGACAAAGAGGTCTCATTAGCAGTTCCTTGGCAGAAAAGCATGAATGCAATCTTTCAGTTCCTGTACAGTGCTCTCATAGGCTGAAAGGATTGCTCTCCCAAACACAGATCCTCTTTTTTTGTAAACATTTATTAACCTTTAAGTTTTTAATTTTGTCATTTTTCATGTGATGTACTCATAGTAAATTCCTCTTGTTTGAGAGTAGATGAATTATGAAAAAGCATCATATCTAAATAGCCCTGTAGCTTATGGCTGTTTAACTCTGAAAAAGGATCTCTTCCGACCGGTAGTGAGGTGGCTTGATCAAAGCTTCGAACATTCTGCCCAGAGGTAGCAGTTTTATTACTTATTAATATCGGTAGACTTCAGAAGGCAAGTCTGCACCTATAGCTGTAACATGCACACTTCTTTCTTTTTACTTGGGCTGCTGTGATGCTGTGGTGAGTGGAAGGGGAGATACAGGTGCCATGATAAAACACCCCCGGATCTGCTCGGGATAGACTTGCCACAGAGACACATAATATAATGGTCAGAAGAACCTTAATCCTTCTGTATAGGTCAAATATCCCTAGTCCTTATTTAGAGAACTGAAGCAGAAACCCTCTAGTTTCTATAACCTTCTGAATCTGGTTCCTGTGTGAAGCCAGAACACACACTGAGAACCTGCTGTCTGTTTTTCATGGTTGCTTGAAAAAATAGCTCCATTTTGGTAGATTTCCGTGTAACTAACTATTTTCTCTCTATACGTTTTGTTAAACACATGTTTGAATTAGATTCTCCAACACTGTTAGAAAGATACTGTATTACATGATATGTAGACATGACACCTGTTAACAGCAGATGTGTCTAACATCTAATACTAGTGTTACACACCACTATATTTTGACATATTTGACAATATACATTATAATATTCAGTTTTTCTGAGGTTTGAAAAGGTAAAACTGACCGAAAAAAAAAGACGTGCCACGTTTAAAAATATTACCAAAAAACTATGAGTATAATGATTTTTATTCCAATGTTACAGCCCAGCAAAACAGGACCAATTATGCTCTCTTTATAATGAAACATGCAGTTGGCCAATGTTCTTTAAAACCTATCAATATCCACAATATTCTCAGAAAAGCATACTGCGATGTAATGTGATGTAACGATAGTAATAAATATCTCACTTAAAAAATATCGAATTTAAATAATAATACATTTAGAATATATCTTCATAACTCACCTGCCACAAAACGCCTGCACAAGTGTAGAACAACAGTGATGCTAAGCGTTATCACTTGTGAACATGTCCACTACTGAAGAGACTGCTCAGTTCAATCATCCATCAAAGGAGTTTGGTAATGCTGAGAATCATAACTGGCTCACCACATTGATTTATCAGTCTACTCAGGCTTTAGCAGGAACTTCAGTGTTCGTTAGGAAGCCATTTCTTCTAGAAGAATACTTAATCACACATACTTAATTTCTGTATCCTGAATATGTATTCCAAATACTTGTACTCTGTTACATCCCAACCCAGTATATGACCATTAACAAAACACCCTTTCAATGATGAAGTTACAGTGCTTTAACATGTAGTCTACCTTCTCATCAGTCATCATCTACATCATCTTTATGACTGTAAATTGCCTTAAAATGTTATTAAGGAAAATGGATTGTACTACTTTTGATAAAGAAAACCACTGTTATCCAATCCAAATCTAAATGGATTTTTTTTTTCTGCAGTGAAAGAAACCTAGTATTTTCCCTGTTCTAAAACGTTTGATTCAACTCACCACCTTCTTTATCTACATGACTTCTCTGAGGTAATTTAACCATTCAGCTCCAGCCTTGTTGAACATGGCAGCCTGCTTGGAGGAGAATGTGAAGTGTTCAGTTCTGTAAACTGGCAGGTGCACTGTTTAGCGACTGAGGTGAGAAGATCAGTACACTCTAAAAAAAGATGGTCCTCAAGGGTTCTTTAGTAAAGACAGTGATTCTATATAGAACCATGAACAATCAAAGAACCGACTGCATGCTTAAATTGTGCTTTGCATGGTGAAATGGTTGGTCAGATTGATGGAGTATATGGTTGTATATAGAACCTGTTTGAAAAGGGTTCTACATAGCACCAAATCAAATCCAATCAAATCATGTTTATTGTCACATCACATTTACACAGCTGTGACGGTAAATAAAAATCTCAGGTGCGTAGCCCCCTTGTAGTACTTAAATACAAAAATAAATAAAAAAGTATATAAAGGAATATATACACATTAGACTCTGAACACACACATTCATATACACCACTATTGCACCATTTCCATGTACAGTTTTTTCTAACAGTAATATAGGTTATAAAATAAAAGCTATGATATGCACACTTGTACACATTTCCATATATACGCAACTAGTGAGTCTGAGGTACATAAATGAGATGCAGGGTTCTGCTATTGTTACAAGCTTGATATGCTACATAGAACCATTTACAACACATTCTCCATCCATCTGAAGAACTATTTCACTACGCAAAGAACCATTTAAGCATGCAAATGGTTTTTAAGTGTTCATGGTTCTACACAGAACCACTGGCTTTACTAAAGAACCCTTGAAGAACCATCTTTTTTTAAGGGAATACCATTCTTTCCTCCACATATGAATGCAGCCTGTTACTTTCTTGTGCAGCCTCACTGATCACATTGACACTAATGCTTCTACCTGGTGCTCCCTCAGAAAAATATAGACATATAAAATTATCAAACAGGAACATGTCCAGTATAATTCATGGTCAAGAATCATATGCAGTATAACCAGATTCTCACAGTGAGAAGGTATCCTGACTGCGTTATGAACCCGCCTCCCAAATCACGTCACACATGTATTTATTTATTCATTTTTATTTGTGCAACTTAAGCAAATTTTATGAACAACACTATAAACAAATGAAATCGGGACCGCAGAATTACAGGGTTGTCTCCTGTTATCATGTGAGCACATGGTAAGTGCTACTATTATATACCACTGCTATCATTACAGCCTGGAGTATCTATCATTACGTCTTCGCTTCAGTTGCATTGCAAGGTGCATCAGATCAGGGCACTTTAGTTCACTTCAAGCTCTTCACTTTGTCATGTAGAGGCTTTCCGCACGAGCTTAATGATTAACCACGCTTCTCTTCCAGTATAGAGGTTAAAGCCTGGGTCGATGATTAACGTGCGGATTTGCCAGACTTACCCACATTTTCAGTTCAGCCTACAGTTTATGAGGAAACTTGCATGAGCGCGGTACTGAGTGGATAAGCTACTCCTTACCTTACTAGGTGGTCTATGAAGTGACAGGACCTGTGTACTTAACAGTCGAGACTATCCTGAAAGCCTAACACAGACGTTTAAACCTGTTTGAGCACAACATTGTTCCCAGAACTTGTCTGACTTCTCTGCAGCTCGTGTGGCCCGTGTCAAGAGGACGGGGCTGTTGACTGTACTCTAAAACTGCCCACTACAAACTGTGGAATACATTAAAGCCGGTCAGCCTACCTCGATCTTATCGGCACCGCTTCCAACACCGTTCCGTTCACTTCAGTTCTGAAGCCAAAAAATCCGAAATAAGGCTTGGATACGGGAGAGTGAGCTGTAGTTCTCCATCCAGGACTCTCTCTCTCTCTCTCAGTCTCTATCACCCTCCACTGAGCAGCACCCGCAGGTAGCCGAACTGAACACGCCTTCTTTGCGCAACTGCGAGTTCAGACCGCCTTCAAGCTGCCCGTCAATACTACGAGCTCATTCCCGAAAGTTTCCCTGAAAGTGGAGGGTTGATAAAATCGTCGTGAGTTTCAGATCAAACGCATGTGCTGCGTAATTCAATCACTACAAGCATTAATCAGCGGAATATTTTAGTGTTGAGTAGGTACAGGTTACAGACGGAGCTTTATATAATTGAATCAGCCTTAAACCTGTTATAAAGACGCCTGGACTGGATGTATGTGGCACTGAGTTCTGCGTAAACGAGTAATAATCCCATTATTCATGAATGCAGTCGAATATAAAGTGTGGTGGCATCTCATCCTTACTATCAGCGAGTTTCCTGCCTTTGGCAAATAATATCCTACGTTAGAAAACAGCACCGAATTTGCCACCAGGCAAGACACTGTGATTTTATAAATACATACAAAACATGTATTTGTAAGGTCAAAGACTTATACAGCACTGCGTAACCATAAAAAAAGAAACAGAAACATATCTTATAAGTGTATCTTTACCACCTCCCTTTGGTTAAAAGTGGGCAGTACAAATGCAGCAAGACCAAGACTGATTTATTTAAACATGTACTTAATTCTACGTCTTCAAGCACGTTAAGAGACAAACATTCAAAACACATTTAAAACACAGAGCAAACGAGCTTATTTATTAATACAAAAATTTATTTTATCTTAACTTAGAGATTATTTTTTTTCCAATGAACAGAAAGAACTGTAAACCAACACAAAGTGCTATTACTACCAAAAACAGCACAGCAATGCAGTCTTTTGAAAAGTGCATCTGATCATACCTAGTGCCATATGATCAGCATAGGGATGGTATTATATATAGAACATATTTGATTTGGTCTATTTAAGCAGTCTTCTGTTATACCCCCTGAAAGGAGCATTACACTTAAAATCCACCACTTACTGTGCATTGGTTATGCTAAAGACTTTTATCTTGCGTCCTCCAGGCGAGGTACTATAAACTGAATGCTATTTCGTCCATTTGCAAGGCTGCTGGAAAATGTTCCTCCAAATTCTAAAATAAATGAAAGATTCACACAACTGATTGTGAGTGAAGCACGTCTTGTAGTTTTATAAATGTAAAACTTAAAACTAACAGACCTGACATCTGCAGATATTAGATGTGCCTAACATCTAATACTTGTTTCTATTACTAAATTCTGGTTGAGCCGCTGATTATGCCTGCTTTTATTTGGACATATCTGGAACAATGTAAACACAAAGTATACAGCTATTAACAAAGTGGCCTTTTAATAACTTCATGCAAAAAGTGCTTTAAAATGTACCTTTTTATCAATCCTCTGTCTGTTACATATGATTGTGAATTGATCTAAAACTATTAGGAAGAACTTTGAAGTTGTACTACTTTTGATGAACAGAACCATTGAATGATCTTTTGTTTCTGTTTTTTTTTCCAGGGAAAGAATGTGTGGATCCAAATAACAGACTAAGAATAGGTAAAAATCCTTGGCAGTGCCTCAAGACACTCATCTTTACCATTTTAAAAAAGACAAACAAACATAGGAAAAGATATATTTAAACCTTAGCAAAAATGTTAAAGAAAACTATATAATTATCAAAACTGAAAAACATGAAAATTTAACATACATATCAAACAGCAGCTTAAAGAGTAGAATTCTTGAGCCTGAGAGATGAGTGTGCGTTGCATCGTTGGATAATAAAATAATTTTTGCATTTGGCTGGAACAAAAAACCTACTGAAATCTAGAGGGACTGGGCATCCATTGTGGATGAACAACTGGCCTGCATGAGAAGTGCTGAATGAGGAAGTCGCCTTTAAAGGTTATTAAGGCAGTACAGTGCAGTGCATCAGGCTTGCTTTACAAAAGGTGCTAGGGAACAAGGACCCTTACACACTACAACGTCTATAAATACTTACAACTGCAACACCTTCCACATTACACGGCATCATTAATATGATCCTGCTCATTTATACTTCACGATTCAAAACTACTGTTACTGGAAAATGAGCAAGCGTTCAAGTTGAGCATAAAGTGTCACATGTTCTTGCTGCCCAAACTCCCAGTACTGTTCATCGCATTTGCTGAAATAAGACCAAAAGGCTGTGAAAAAAAGGGACCTCTTAACTATGTAGTGTGTAAGGGACCTTTCATTACCAAGCTGTTCTTTTCATGGATCTATTTGTCAACTATATGACCTGTCCTTTCAGCCCACTACCTACTCTAACAGCTCCTTCTCTAAAAGCCCCAGTTCCTCCAGCTCATCATTTTCTCTCTCCATAAGACCTCCATCTTTCTGTAGAGGCTCTTCATCCTTAAGAAGCTCATCTTCTCTTTTAATAACCTCTTCATCTATGTCACTCTCCATAAACTCTTCAGGACTTCCTCCTTCCAGTGACCCCTCATCTACAGGTGTGTTACGTTTCTCCTCCTCATCTTCATCATCTAGCTTTACCAACTGTTCATCTACTTTTGTGTCACCTAAACCCTCCTGCACTACTCGATTCTTCTCCTCAGTCTCTCCAACACTCTCTTCTAGCTCTTCCTCACTCTTGATTGGCAAGTCATCTTCTGCCTCCACCCATTCTTCATCCTCTGACTGAGCACTGTTGGAATCTCCACTCTGAGGCTCCTCTGTGGCCTCTTGCTTTGGATGCTCAGTGGAAAGGCTCTCTTCATTAATGGGCATTTCATCCTCAGGAAGAGGTTTCCAATAGTCATACAGCTTCCCCTGAGTTAATAAAGAGAGGAAAAAAAAAACAAAAAAGATAATATGAAACAACAATGAAAATGCTAGCTGCAAATGTAACCACTTAAAGATGTGCCAGAAGCAAAGAGGATACTCCTGATGAACCTGCACACAGGTTAAGATCTGACAAAAGCCACATAGTGACATGAAGTACAGCACAGCAAGTAACAAATACTCTGTTCACGTAGATGCAGATTCCAAGAGACAGAAACTTGGATCATTAGAATTAGCCTTCTATCTCACTCCTACTTAGAAACATTACTCTGTAAAAAAAAATGTGTCAGTTAACCTACTTCATGTGGTAACAAGCAGTTGAACTAGTTTTGTTGAACTCAAAAAATGACTTTGGATGAAACAACTGTTCATTCAAAATATTTATTTAGTTTGAATAAAACTGCTATTTTTTGTTACCACACGAAGTGTTTTTTTTTAGGTTGAACCAACAAACCATTTTTTTACAGTGTAGAATCAATGCCAAATTATCAACAAACTCCAGAAGACTCAACTAAAGTGAAACAGAAGTAGCCAAACAAATAGCTGTTCTACCTGACAAACGTCAGTGTTTGAGTCCACATAGTGCCTCAAAGCCTGGTCTGGGCTTATCAGTGAAGAAAGTCAATTACACTGATTTATGAACTGAGGAGAAAAAACTTAAAAAGAAACGTTGGATCAGGGCTTAGTGTGACACCAGACCCATCTAGACTTCTCCACAACAGGCTCACAGACAGTGGGTGCAGTTCTCCCACATATTTAGCTGATCGCTGTTGTCAGAAGAAAACCTCGTATCTCCAAAATGATAACTTTACAGGAAAAGAAAAAAAAAAAAAACACTCTACTTTTAATGTAAGTCAACGAGACCAGACTTTTTTCCCCAAGTCCCAAAAATGAAATTCACACATAATATAAAGGGCAACAGGCCCTTTACATCAAATTATGTCAAAAACCGAAAAACGACAAAAATGGAGATATAAGGTTTTCTTCCGACAGCAGCGTGATGCACAGCAGAAACAAATTATTCAGTGAAATACACTTATGACCTTCTTGTGCCATTGGATTAAAAGGTAGATTACAAAAAAGTCTGAACACCAGGGAAAAGTCCCATAGTGGACTTGAATGTTACTGTGGCTCCACACATCCTTAAGACAGATCAAATTATGTGCACCCACATGGTTGTGAAAAGCAGAACTGTTAGCCACATAACCTTTAAGCGACATTTACACAGGAGGCCTTCTAGGAACTACAGCACCACAGAGACCGAACACCATACCGGTCACACCAATTATCTGCACAGCCAGGAAACAGTTTTCAATCGATGACAGGCTTATATGGCCTGCATCAACAAGGGTCTCACATACAGGGCAGCCTGCACGCATACGGTCCATCAGCTGAAGGTATGTCCCTGCAGCTGTAGCCAAAACTGAAGGGCTGCGTTCAAACAGTTAAATGAAACTTCCTTTTCTGTAGGCTTACCTTGCCTGATCTGTATATGGTCTCACTATATACAATGGCAGAGCTGACTAGCATGTGGATGCCCATGGCTACCATACTAAATTAAATCAAGGCAAGCAGATAGGAAAGAAAGTCTCATTCTACTATTCGGCCACAGCCAAGGTGAATTGGGGTTGCCACACTCGACCTCCCAACTAAGATAGGAAGTGCTTCCTGTGTGGGATCCATACAGCAGTAGAGAAAATAGTAGTGAGAATAAATGGAGCCATTAGTAAAACACAGTGGGTGCAAATGTGAAATCTGTGTAGAATTTCGAGGTAGGACAAAGCAGCTGCTCTGGCCAGCAGAATCTCAGCTCAAACAGGGTCAAGGGTCAGATTTTGTCAGAAAACCATAAATCTGTCGCCTGATCATAATTACATAGTTGTGTGGCAGTACACAGTGGCAAGTGAACAGCATGTAACTCAAAGCTCGATACATCTTTTAGGAGAGCCACTATCTCTCCCTGAAAGGATTTTCATGGCTTTGCTCTCAGTGGGCAAAACACAGCCTGCAAACACCTGGTCAAGACTCTTAGGGGTAGAAGGTAGAATTTCAAACTGATTTTCTCAGTTGGTCAATAACAACGGGTATGTGAAGGGAAAGGTGTTTAATAATGAATGAACCCTGCAAAGATCTAAAATAGCACAAAGCTTGATGGTAGAGGAGTCCTGAATTGTGGGGAATACATGAAAGCATGCTGAAGGTCAGACTTTGATGGCAGCATATGCCTTATCAGTGACTCCTTAACAGTCTTGCCAGGTTCAATTGCAATGGTGTGAGAAGGCAATCCTAGCTTTAGGCATAGTTAGCTCATGCTGGGCAGGGTAAGATCCTGAGGTTTGAGTAGAGTCAATATCAATCTATGCAGCTGACCTGTGCCACTTTGAGAAGAGGAATTAAAATAAGGTGCTGTGTTATTGGCTGCATCACATATGTCACTGCGCAGCTCTGCTGCCAAGATCTCCACCTGTGCGCAGGAGTATGCACTGTGCTTTGCACTGCCCTTGGCCATCAGCAGAAAAGAAACAGAATGCAAAACACTAGCAGCTCAGTATCAGAAGATGATGAGCATAAGAAACAGATGGTTCAAAAGCTTGCGCATTTGAAGTACAAAAGTATTACTGATTCATTCAACAACTTTTAAGAGATTCAGTGTTAAGCAACTACCGAAACAGTTCATTTTTGCTGGAAGAAACTTCACAATAACATCTGGATCTGAGTCAGTTTCTTTTGACAATTTTGTGGCATTTTAGCAGAATCGAGTGGAAAAAGCTTGACCATCTGTCCTATACTCCAGTGAGCACCATCACATTTAGAATCATGCCTGGGCAGCTATACCAATCATGACAATGAGATTAACTTCCTTTTCAAATTAACCTCTATGTTCTCTTACAGGGAAACACGACAATGCAGTGATTCTGTGGCTGCCTGAAAAACAAGGTGCTGTAATATTTACCAAATGCATAAACATAGAGCAAACCAATTATTCATACTCAGGAAAGAAGTCATGAAAGTTGTTCTATAAGTAGACTCGTACCTCCTGGGGCCGTGATCTTTGGAGGAGTACTTGCCATCTGGTGTAAATTCTTGCAACAAAGTCTTTCACCTGATCAAAACAAAAAAGAACTGGTGTTGTTTGATACATTAATATAGAAGAAAGTCTATAGTTTGAGTGAAATTAGTAATGCTACTTTACCTTACTCCTGTACAGCATTTTCTCACTTTCCCTGATGTCACACTTGATGTGTTTTTCCAGTTCAGCAGAGAGCAGCAACAGTTCATTCTAAAGGACAAGCAGAGACATACATAAATATTTAAATGTATATATAAAGTGATCATAAGTGATGATCTGTGCTTGACAGTCATTATTATTCACAGCACAACTACTTTACAGTTCTCACATTCATATTATTTACATTCTGTTGGGTGACAAATCGAACTGAATCAAAACTATATCTTGTTGTATAAAAAGCAAGACAAGTTCAATGGTGGCTGAATGTCTTCCAACGACAACAGCTGACTGTGAGTAAGACTACTGTTCTGTCGCAAGACAAGCTTTCACTGTTCAAGATTCATAATGTCTCAGTGTTCAAATGTACAGAACTGCTACTTCACGGCGGCACACAAAACAGACACAGAACCCTTGTAATACAGGGGGACACATCCCTCCAGGTCTGTCCATAACCTAAGAAATTCTCCAATCCTTCCAATCACCACCCACAAATCATAGAGACATTACCCCTTACATGAATATGTCCCTCACACAATACTGTAGTTCTCACAAACACCCTTTCAGGGTTTTTTGAAAGAGAAAAATGTTAATTAGACTCGTAGGATGACAGCAGTACTGAACACAGAGAGTGGCTGTCTTTTCTGACAAACGGTCTTTCTGCGGCTTCCTTAAAACATACACACAGCTCTAGAAAAGGAATATTTAGCAGATATGTAGCACTTACTCTCTGGTTTGAGGGTAAAAACTCAAAATTGGAGGCTTCGTTTGTCAAAGCCAAAAGACTATAACAGAGGTAATATGCCTAGAAAAAAAAACAGTTACATAAAAATAATGTATACACACACATATAATATTCTTTAACAAACAATAATCAAGATAAAAGTAATCCAGTCTACAAGCTCAGTTTACCTGCTGGTCTGGTGTGAGGGCACAGTCCTCAGTCTCCTGCTGTTCTTTCTGTGTAGCTATGAAGCCCTTTAACAGGGAGGAGGGACGCATTCGAGGTAAGTAACTCCTCAGATCTGACAACTAAGAGCAAGACACACAGAATATTATGTCAAACAATATTACGTCAAGCATACAGATGTATCTTGTCAGCATTAACTTAGAATTAAAGAACCCATTATGGTGTTACTGGCATTATTTAAATGAGCGTTCAAATAAGGGCTGATGTCCATAAATAAAATCAAAGTGTTCTCTTTGCACAGATTCATTTTCAGTTGGCCACTGATAGGATCAAGTCATAAAGATCTATTTCCACTCAATATAAAACAGAATACAACAACTGAGCTTAAATTTGTTTCTCTCACCTGAAATTCCACACATGAGGGTTTATAAGTGCATCTGTGATTTAACAGTTTTGAGATGATCGATACGCTCAGATGCCTCCTCAATTGCCTTTACAGTGACACACAAGACAACAAAGTTTAGTGCCCTCTGACAAAATAAAATGAAGAGAAAACAAACATTCAAAATAAATCAAACATTCTCCCTTTATAACTGTAATAATAACAGAAGGTATTTCACTCACTTTCCCCGGACACTATAAGGCAGGAGCTGCACTAGCCGTCTAAGGTTATGGTGGTCCTCAGTCAGGTCAATGATGGCCTGACAAACCTGAGGCAACTGCCAGCACAGAACAGAACAACACAGTGAGTGAAAACACAATGTTGTATATTTCTCAGTCTGTACAAAACTTGAATGAAGCTTTGCATGTGAACAGGGCTAACACTAAAATTTCTTATAGACAACTGTGCCATGCACCCCTTCCCCAGGCCCCGATGACAGCCGCAAGAGGCACGAAGGCGGGACACGAGTCTTGAAGCCTCGCCTCTTATTCCTCTCGGTTCAGGTTCGTACGCTGCCCTTCATGAGAGCCACCTGATGCTGATTTGCCGTTGACAGCATGAGCACCTTCTTAAAAGAGCGAAGAGGGAACATAGAGAGAGAAGAGGGACGAGTAGTAGCAGAAGCAGAAAAGCTTGGTTTTGAGAAAAGGAACGAAAGTCTACCTTTGAAGCCACTGAAAAGTGGTCAACTTTCGTTGTGAGTGTTTTTGTTTTGTTTGGTGCGGAAATAAAGAGAAAATGTCTGCTGCAACCCTTTCTCCTGCCTCTAGCATCGTTCTTAAGCCTGGAGTAGCACAGAGCATGCAACTTTTTGCATTCAAAATTTTGAAAGACTTTGGTCAAAACACATTTTTTGTTGATTTTCTAAGTGAAAATAAGTTAACACAAACTCCACAGGGAAACTGTGCCATAACTTTTGCACTGACCACATCTATGTTGTTTTTTTCCCCAAATATGTTAAATTTAGCAAAACAGTAACTGTGTATTAAAATATGTAGAACTGCGCTCTCTGTAGTGGATGTGTACACATTTTCATATAGAAAATCAACAAAACATAATTTGACTAGATACACCCAAACTTCTGCCCTGGTTAACATTGGGACACTGATTGGGGTTTCATTAAACCGACTGGGTGCATGTGTCACTCAGAGTGTGCGTTGGGGTCTCACCTGGATTTCCCATTGTGTCATGTTCTGAAGGATGTGTTGTAGCAGGCAGCTGAGGTCTCCTGTCGGCAGCAGCTGTAAAGAGGTCTCCAGACTGACTCTACACATCAGTGTCAACAGTAACAGCAGCTCCTCATCAGTGTATGCCCTTGGACACAAGGCAGCACATAGTGCTAGGTACTGCACCCCACACCAATACATGCAAAGAAAGTAAACAACAACAACAAAAAAAAAAAAACACAAAACATGGGCACCAGCACATTTTATAAAGTTATATTCAGCAATATAAAAACAGATATTGTATTGTCTCTTTGCTGAAATACAAACAGATTACCTTAACAATGTTCTCAAAATTGTATTCTGGAAATGTGTCTCGTTCCTTCTCAGTTCTTGCTCTGTCAGGCTGGATTTCCAAACTCTCTCTGGGCAAGGCAAGGCAAGTTTATTTATATAACACCTTTTATACACTGCTGTCATTCAAAGTGCTTTACAAATGAGAAAATACACAGTCAGAAAATACAGAGTGTTTAAAAAAAAAGTACACAAGAATAGAAATTAAAAACATGACTAAAACAATAGATTTAAAAGGGAAAATCATTACATTAAAAATCAAGTTAGATATTAAATTAGGATCGTTAAAAAAATCAAATAAAAAAAATTATAAAAATAACAGAGGAAAAGGGTCTAGAAATGCTAACAGTGTTTGACAGTGCTCTTCTAATGCTCTCTGTCAACTGGTTCCATTTAAGAGCAGCACAGTAGCTAAACACTGCTTCTCCATGTTTAGTCTTCACTTTCAGCAGGACTAACTGACTAGTACCTAATGATCTGCTCAACTCATAATGCTGCACCATATGAAATAAACATGCTGGTCCTGCACCACTGAGTGATTTGCAGACCAGTAATAGTGCCTTGAAGTCTATTCTGTAACAGACTGGAAGTCAGTCTAAGGATTTAAGAATGGGGTGATGTGTTCCCTTCTTTTACTCCTAGTGATACTCTGGCAGCCACATTTTGAATCTGAAGCTGTTTGATTGTCTTTTTTGGGAGTCCAGTTAGGAGACCATTATAGTAATCAATCCTGCTAGAAATAAAGGCATGGATGAGTTTCTCCAGGTCTGCTTTAGTCAGACAATCTCTGATCTTGTTGATGTTCTTAAGGTGATAAAAAGCTGATTTAGTAACTGCTCTGACAACTGCTAAAAATAAGATCAGCGTCCATTAGTACACCAAGGTTACGTACTAGTTCTTTAGATTTTAGGGCTCTTGAATCCAGATTGGCAGCTAGTCTGTGCCTTTCGTTGCTATTCCCAAATGAAATAATCTCTGTTTTATCTTTGTTTAACTGCAAAAAGTTTTCTCTCATCCAGTTAGTAATGTGCTCAAGGCACTCACAAAGTGAGTCAATGGGACCATAGTTGTTTGGTGAGAGGGCCAAGTAGATCTGAGTATCATCTGCATAGCTGTGATAAGGTATCCCATAGTCTTGTAGTATTTGGCCTAGAGGCAGCATGTATAAACTGAATAAGAGTGGCCCAGGTATTGAACCTTGGGGACACCACAGGTCACTGGCACTCTCTTTCCACAAAGTGGTCCCTTCCTTGCAGGTATGAACTAAACCATTTAACCTCTAGCAAGACACATTAAAGCAATTTATACCTAAATTTAAACACTATTTCCAGCACATTTATTTTGAGACCAGGGCTGATCTAGAATTTGTTCTTGTTAAGGTCATAGTAAATATGACAGAAATCTGAATCTAGATTAGCCCTCTTACTTGATAAGTTTTATCAATATGGGCCAGCTGAAGTTAGTACTTACAGCAGATCTCCCTCTGTAAAAGGGGGTTGCAGAGCCTCCAGAGGAAACAGATTGACAAATGACACACCCATGTTGAGGAAGACTAGGGCAACGTCCTGTATACTGGGCACCCACACCTCAAACTTCTTACTGCTGTTCTCCACTAGAACATATAAGCAGCAGCAGCAGCTTTAAAGTGTGTTCTATAGTAACACAGCACAGAGCATTGAGTTAAAGGAATCACAGCATACCTATGTGCTGAGCAGCAGACAAGGCAATAGTAGTCATGGCCTGCAGAATCTGTGCACAGGTGCTGGGGTTTGGGTGGACTGACATCATCTGCCATGTAATTCAACAAATTGGTAGTTATCAGCATCATCTAAAATAAACAATATAAGATTCAACTCAAAGTAACTACTAATACAAGTCAGAAGAGTATGAGGTGAGAGATTTCCAATGTTTATGAAACCTGAATTGCTATAATGGCGATATCTAAAAATTACTGATACTGTCTTGATGAGATTAACAATAATGTTACCAGGTTTTTTTTTAGCATAACTGAAAATCTTTAACAAAACACACATATTTAATAACATCCCCAGTCAAATTATATCTACGTGAAAATAACACCCGTATCCTCTACAGAGAGCAACATTGTTACATTGCAATAAAACATAAAATAATTTTTGGCCACATTTTTCTTTTTTTTTTTTACCAATACATTAAAATACAAACATAAACAGTAATTATGGATTAAAATCGACAGATGTGCATTCTCTGTAAAGGATGTGTTCTTATTTTCATTTAGAAAATCAACAAGACCTAGAATTGACCGAGGGCACCCAAACATTTGCAGACAACTGTAATAATAAATTATTAAATCATTTTTTTAAAAAACTACTTCACCTCATATTTTGAAAAGCATGCTTCACACTGCTACCTGAGCAGCAAATGAGCGCCAAAGCCGTGTACGTGTTTTACATATGTAGACTCAAGGCTGTGTAACAATCCATTCTTTTAACATAACTTTTGATATGATTTAGCAGACACTTTAAAATTAAATTAGACCTCTCTAGTGCTCTATCTGTTGTCTTTCCTAACATGACAGTTATCGCTTATGAAGCACTGTCATCAGGTTACTTCTCAGTCATCGTAATATCTGACTGCATTGCCCAGGCCTCAGCTGCTATGTGCATTTCTTATATTGTGATGAGCATCAGAGAGGTGCTTACCTGGAAGAGCCAGCGTGTGACTTGAGGCTGGCAGCTGGAGGTGGAGTAGGCTCTCCTAAACAAGCCTGCACTTAGCAGCAGTAGGACATGCTCTGTCGGTGCTCTGCACAAAAGACAAACAGTCATTCAGACCAATCATTTCCCAGTCATGTACATTCCTGGCAATCTCTGCATAAGTGCAGAGGGGAAAAAAGCATTCAATTTACATAAATGTTTGTCCTAATACAGGACACAAACAACACAACATGTGCCTCATGTGTAAGCCTGGACTAAATGATGAAATGATGACTGTCTTACTGCAGGAGGGTCTGTTGGGCTCTGTTGTTTGGGGTCACACTGATCTTCCTTAGGTCCAGACTCTGGTGATCGAAAAGTCGGCCAAAATTGGCCAGTGTGAACACTTCCTCCCCGGGGTGGATGTCTTTAATGGCACACGAGGTGACTGAGAACTTCTGTAAGAATTCCCTACAACAAAGTAACCAAGAGTATGCATAACTGCTGATATCTCTTCAGCACACCAATGTGCAAATGACAACAAAAAATATACCTCTGCTCATGTGAAAGTGCTGCTTCTGCATTTTCATTCTCTTCATCTTCCTCCAGTTTCAACAGGTCTTCTTTGCAAGCCTGAAGCAACTGCATTTCAAGCTCTTTTGACCTAGAAATTAAATCATTTCATCAGTTACAATAACTGGGGCAGAAGGTTATGTTTTTTGTACAACGCTGCCACTACTAATAGTAATAACAATAATAATTTCATGTTGAAAAGCTACATCATGTCACATGTTGACATTCCATACATTAAATACTGGAATTAACTAAATTGGCTTATTTAATGTTGAGCAGGTGGTTAGATTAATGAGCTACAACACCTCTCCACACCAGCCTGGGACTCTAGAAAAACAATCAGGCTGCAATTCTACATGCTTCCAAAGATTAAAATGTAAAATGCTATAAACTGTCCCATACTGTCAAAAATATTGTGCAAGGTTTAGTGCAGTCACATAATACACAATGTCTGACTTACTTTTGATTCTGCTCTTTCTCCTTCAGCATCTGCTCCAGTGTGTTCTTGTAACTTTTAACTTTACTTTTCAAATCCTGAGGCTACCAGAAAAGAAATACATTACATAGATGTAGATCAAAATATTCTTATGTGTTGGATAAAATTTAAATGGTGCCTTGTGAAAAGTCATCAAGAAGTCTTGTGCTACTCCTTTAAGTGGAATAGCTATAGTTACTATTAACCTTCTGGTATATTGTAAATTCAGAAATTTCAAAATTTGACCTGCCTTGAACATAATCAGTAATAGTGCATGTGTTAGGTGTTAAGAATGTTTTACTCAAAAAAACTAGTTTAGGCATAATCCTGTAAAATATATACCATCATTTGGATGTAACTTTGTCAAACCATATTTGTATGCCTGTAAAACTATCAAACATTTAAATACTCAATTGTTTAAAGCATTTTTATTATGTTAAAACAAGTTTATTATGCCTTTTCTAGTGTTCACCACAACATAAAGCAAACAGAAACTTACAGTAGCTTTAGGGGCTGGTGTGCTGGGCTCAGAGAACGCTCCTTTCTCTGGGGTGGTGGGCACACGTGCACTACGCTCCAGGATTTCCTGCAAGGACAGCAGCTGCTCCTCATCGCTGCTACTGCTGCTGTTAAGACTCAGAGCACAGCTCTCCAGTCCCAACTCCCCATCATAGCCCAACTCCAAATCTAGAGGATCCTTCCAAACTACGCCTCTTTTCTTCTCTCCATCCTGCTTTGCAGGTGTGGAGGGCAGGCTAGCTCTGGGGCTAGAATCTGGGTCCTGTTTTGGGGTCTTTATTTCACCCTTCTTTGATCCCATGGGGCCAATAGAGGTAGGTGCTTTAAGTTCTGACTGGTGGGGAGGAGAGCTGATCTTAATTTCATTTATAAGACCTGGCAAGGAACTTGTGTGTGAGGAGGCAGCTGAACTTCTTTCATCCCTGCACTTTTGGGTAAGCTTGCAGGAAAGTAATGGGGAAGTGTCAGCAGTGAGCGAACTAACCACTTGGCATTTGCTTTCATTAGATTTTTTTTTCTCGTCCTTCAGACGACCTATTCCGGATACATTAGAGGGCTGAGTTACCAGCTGGGGTTTGCAATTCTCCGACCTTGGTTCTCTGCTTGGCTCTTTGAAGAGCTGTCTGGCTAAACTGCTGGACAAAGAGCTAGAAGTCTTTTTTCTGTCTTCTAATATTAGCGAGCCCTTCTCACTACTTGTCTTGAGGATGGCACATTTGACGTACTTTGGTGGTGAGCTGATACTCTGAGCTCCAGTTGAAGAACTGATGTTTGCAGAAGACGGGGTGAGGCAACTGTCCTCCTGACGCAATCTCTTGCCCTCCCTCTTTCCATCTGTACTGCTTTCTCTTTGTCTCTTCAGGGATAACCTACCACCTGCTGGCAAAAAGAGGAATGCAGAAAGCGATTAAAATATTTTTGTTAAAAAAAGCTTTAATGCGCAAGATGATTTTAGCAATATTTATGTGCCTTACTGACCAATTAAGGCTCAGCAAAGCTAAGCCCAGACTAACAGAGACATCATGTATCATGTAACATCTGTAACATAACGTTGTGTAGCAGACATTATATAACTGAGATGCATTATGAAATTATGTTATCACATTACTAAAAAAAGCCTCTTCAAACTAAACACTGATCAAAGAAATGCGTCTTCTCAGTAGTTCTCAGTACTTTTAAAAACAAAATGCAGACTGGGGAAAAACAACAAAACAGACAAGTATATGAAAATGCCATATCTGACAGTCAAACTGTAAGGTTTTAACGTTTGCTATAGAATGTGACTAGCATCATACCTGGTGTGGTTGTCTGGCTGGGTGTGCTTTCTTCCTATGAAGGCCATTGGAGGGGGAGAAGACAAACATCTTCACAAACATCACCACGTTTCTTTTTTAGTAAATCAATGGTGGTTAACAGACGTGTCAAATGTAATGAAACAAAGAAGTTGAAAAATAGGTTTTCAGAATTTTATAGCTGCCTAAATTAGTGTAAAATCAGTATAGCAAGAACATCCACTGCTCATTTTAGTGTTTTCCATTTTCAAATAAGCTTCAACCAGCTCATCATCCACCTTTCATGTTCTTTACAGTGCATCAGAGCAGGCTGCTCATAGGCTGAACATTAAGGGGAAAAATTATTTACAACTGAATATGAGTACGGACCAGTTAATGTTTACTTTTCACACTTTTTGACACAATCTCGTGCCTGCTAAGTTCTCTCACCGGGCACGATGAAACAGGGCTGTGTAAAGAAGAACTGCGATCCCCATTCAGCAGCTTGTCCTCCTTTTCAGCAGAGTGCTGGACCCGCTGTTCCACACTGCTGCCAGGGTTCCTACCTTCCCTCTGAGAGGTCGATGAAGCATGGCTCTCAGAAAAAGGCCTGGAAACAGGCAGGGGAGACACAGGACTCTGCTGCGGGGGGCTCCCTGAGTGCAACATAACCTTTTCAACCTAAATATCAGAGAATAATCAGATATGGGTATCAATAAAAATAAGTAAGAGAGAACTAAAATAAATACTAAGAAATATTTTGCCATACATGCACATAATAGAAGAAGAAAAATTAAACAATATTGTACAGACAGATATTGTGTGTGGTTTTGACTGAGTAATACTACACAAAGCACAGTATACAACAACTGGCCATTTACTATAGAAAAGCAGTAAATGTCAGTAAAAGTCTAGTACAATGAGAAAATTAAATCTGAGGAATGTCTCTCTCTGTATACAGACATCTGAGCAATTACCTTGAGGTTCTCGTTCAACTGCTTACACAAAGCCAAGGCAAATTCCCTCTCTTTGTTGTAAGAATTTGTCCTTTGGAACAGAACACCTTTTTTAGCAGCAGACTGGAGTGACCCATCTTTACTGGAGTGAATGTTGTTATTGTTGTTAATTTGCAGTTTTCTCATGAGCACATTGTTATTGGAGAGTCCGTCCTGACCTCCTCCAGAGCTTTTTTTGGAACCTGAAGATGAGGCTACAGCAGACGTACTTGTGTGCTCCAGCTCAGGACTTTTGAGAGGCAGCATGCGTTTTGGCAGTGGGTTTAAGACTCCCAGAGTGTTTACATTCTTGTTGTCAGGCTCCTGAGATGGGCGGCGTGTCACCAGGCGAATTGTGCTCGTCTCATCAGCACTGGAACGCCGAGGAACACCAAGTGGAATGATGTCTTTCACTGGAATAGAAAAAAAAGATGCGGTGTTAAGTTTGCTCTGTAGCTTATGCCCATGCATAATGAATTAACTGAATAAATTACTGTATGCCCGTCAAGCATGCAAAAAAACAAGAAACAACCCATTCTGAAAGACAGTAAAGCCAGAATGTTCTGATTTTCATTCATTTGCTGAACCTTGAGGAGTTGTGCCCAAGCACCAAACATGCAGGCCCTTGCAATACAAACCCTTTAGGTCAGCAGGAGTGATCTGATGCAGAGAAAGTGACAGTACCCACAGTCAGTTCCCAGTAATCAGCAAAGCTAATATTTGATAAAGCAAGACAGATGTAGGCCACTAGATATAATAGACTTCATTAGGTTTTGTGTGAGTTAGGTAGCAAACCAATCAATTAAGCACTCAATTAAGTATCTGTAACTTGTCTGAAATGCATCCCTCACCCATAGAGGTGATGTGCTGCTTGAGGTTACTTTTCATTTTAACTGAAGAAAGCAAGACACTGTGTCCTTAGAGGTCTCCTAGGTCATCTGCATAGAATAAGAGGCATTTTAGTATATAGCTGGGTATATATAAAAATATTAGGAATAAGGTATCTTTGGAACACGTATTAGAGAATGGCATGAGAGAACAAATTCACTACTGCACTGAACACACAGTTCTAGTCCTATGTTGCACATTTATTTTCATACACTATCCTGTCAAAAATACTTCTAGTCCTGTTTGCCAGTTGATCTCTCTATATTTTTTTACCCCTTAAGAAAATCGTGAATGAGGAAGAGGTGGGACTATAGCCAAAATCACAACAGGCTAAAGTATCAATTTTATTTTTTTTTTCTTTAAAAACAAAACTGTGGTTATTTACCATTGCTTCCCTGAAGTAACAATCAGGCAAGAGAAGAGCTGATGTTACTATAATATGAAGAGTAATTGCAAACCTCAGTTTCAAAAAATTATTTGAAATGCACATAAAACAGAAAGCCGTGATCTTTAATACGCTTTTAACTTTATTAAAATGAAACAAAAAATTTTAATTTAAAAATGTAAGAACAATGGGGCTCATTCACCAACATCTTCCAAAGTTTTTTTCTTAAATTTGTTTTTGAGAAAAGTCCTAATAAAAGTCTATGTCAGATTGGTAACATATTCTTAAACCACAGAATTGTTTGCACCTTTGTTCTCTTGAGTGTGTGAAAATTCCGTTCTTACCTAAAAACAAATCGCAAGGAAGAAAACATTGGCGAATGTCAGAATCTTGAACTCTTGAAAACTGTGCAAGTGGGTTTTAAGAAGAAATTTCTTCTTAAGAAAGGCCCAAAGTTTCTCAAAGAGCACTCACAAGGAGTTTCGACATTTTAAATTCTGTGGTGCATAATGTCACCAAAAGACTCTGAGAATCCAAATAAATCACTGTGTGTAAAGAGCAAGGCCAAAAACCACAAACGAATGACCTTCGACTCCTCAGACAGCACTGCATAAAAACAGGCATAATTATGTGATGAATACCACCACACTGGCTCAGGAAAACTTAACACTGTTCATCGCTGTGCTTAACTGATGCACAGTGGAAATCTGTATTGTGGTCTGATGAGTCAATGTTTCAGACTGTTTATGGAAATAATGGAAGTTGCGTTCTCCGGGCCAAAGAAGAAAAGGATCATCCAGATTGTTCCCAGTGTGGGTTCAAAAGGCAGGGTCTGTCATTTTATGGGGAGATATTAGTGCCCATGTCATGGGTAACATGCACAGCTGTGATGGCACCACTATCCCTAATAGACAAATACACATTTTGGGGCAACATATGCTGCTTTCTATACAATGTCTTTTTTTCAGGAACATCCATGCTTATTTCAACATGACAACGCCAAGCCACATTCTGTACATTACAGCAGCATGGCTGCATAATCTGTCTTCAGTTCCCAATTGATAATCAAGTGCTGTTAAAAGGAAAGTTGATGTAACACAGCAGTAAACACACTCCTTTCACAACGTTTTTGGAAGGCACTGCAGGCATCAAATTTTAAATGATCATATTTACAAAAAAATCAAATATTGTTTTTTGTACTGTTTTCAATTTACTACATATTTACTAAAATATTTACTTCAGCTTCTTGTATTTCTTTAGCATTAAACATACTGTCCAATTTTTTTGGATTTGGGGTTTGTATGAAACATTATAGATGCCCATTAAGGATCCACTTCCTTTAAAATAGACTGGGTCCAAATAAAAGCTATGACAGCTATGTTACCAGTTAAATTAATCAAAAACACTGAATGGAAGGACACAGGCTGAAAAACTATTTTAAAGTTTGACACAACAGACACATGGACTTGTGAAGGACAACATGAAATATTTTGTTTGCCTTTCAAGACGGAAAGAAAAGTGCCCGGCATACTAGTTTGAAATAAGCAATGCCAAGCAGCACGTTTTTTTTTCTCTTTTGAGCTCAGCAGCGTTCCTGAAACGTTCCTCTGTTAAATACTCATCCAGGTAGTGGAGGGGTAGCAGATGATAGAGGATCATTGACACAGAAAGCGGATGGAGGCTGGCACAAATTGTACAGATCAACAAAAGACTAGTTAGCTAAGTGACAGTTCAAAACAGGGAACCGCACTGTTCAGAAGATAGCTCTAACAGATCATATAAAGTGTGGCTAAGAGCAGAGAAAGTATCCTGATCAAACCTCGTGTTTTAAAACAGTGTTCGGCGAACGTGAAGAGTTAAGAGTTTGCATAAATGTGTGTTTATATCTGTTTATTACTCTGTTATTCTACTGAACATATTGTCTAGCATAACGTTACATTATGCTAAGAAAGTCACTATTAACATCCTCGGACCACTAACAGGTACTGCAAAGTGTAAAAGTTCACACTGTTCTGTCATTCTGTCTTTATTTGACTAATGAGTTAAAATATTTACATAGCTAGCTAACGTATATCGTAAGCGTACTGCTATGATGGGAAACGACAGAACTGGAGCTAACCCTGTAACTTATACTGAATTGCCACCGGTCCTATCTGGGTAAGTTAACCTAAGTTTATCTGCAACACCTCTAAAGTACCAATAAGTAAAGCAATAATTTTTTATTCAAAAACAGTCGGTATCCACCTGGAAGCTGAATTAGTAATGTTAGACTTGTAGTTAGGTATAAATACCAACGGTGCGAGGTGTGGCTAAACAACTGCAGTAGCCAATTTACCGGGTTAGCTAGCTTAAGCAGTCCGGCGTTGTGTAACATTAGTTATCCGGCTAACTTCTGTGAGAAAGGAAAAATGTAGCGGCTATAATAGTAAACAGTTACTGCAACTAATGACACGTTGTTTTTAAACTAAACAACATATCGCATCGCTAAGTAGCTAGTTAGCAAGTTTAGCTAATGCTACGTACGTTGTGGCTAATGTTAGCCGTTCGTGTTAGCTAGCCTGCTAGTTACAATAACTTTAGTTACTTAAACTAACGTCAAAGAAGATCGTCGCTTAGCGATATTTCCTGGTGTTTTAGGAACAAAGCATTCCCCATACCTGCACTGCATTCTCACACAAGTCAGCGGGCAGTCTCTTTGCAAATGTGTATGTAAACATCCGTGTTTAACAGTTCTTGTTCTCACTCGTAGGAAGCCGCCATTCGTGGCTGGGCGGAGTCAGCGAGAGGTTTTATTATTTTTTCAGTACTGAAACTTAGCGCACATCCATGTTGCCAGATTTGCGGTTTTCACTACAAACAGTGCTGTTTCGAAAGCTTGCGGGTCGAAAATAAACAGGCCGTGGAGTTTTTATGACTAAACAAAAATGGTCGAGAAAAAACATTTTTAAGCTGATAGATGGAATTTTCAATGTCCATATAAACTTAATATGTCGTTGGGCTATCCACAGTCATATACATACGTTTCGACACCTCTAGTCAAATTACATTTTGTCGCTGTTTCTAAGTGAAAATATGTACACACCCTCTACAGGGAACACACTGCACGTTTCTGCACATTTTAATGAACAATTTCGGTTTATTTGATACATTTAACATAAAGGGAAAAATAAAACAGAAAATGAGCAGCTTTATGTTTCATTTTTTCCCAATATGTTCAACTTGGCAAGTAAATAAAGATTAGAAGACGTGGTAACTTATTTTCACTTAGAAAATAATCAAAAACATGCGATTTGACAAGGAGTAACTTGCATCCCCCTGAAATCTGCATCCCCCTGAAATCCCCTGCATCCCCCTGAAATCTGAATCTGCATCATTGTGTAAAATGAGTGCTCACTTGCTTAAAAATGCTGCTGTGAACTGGCAAAAAAGAAACTGAAAAGGAGTCACTGCATGAATACATCAAATCAGAAAAGTCGGAACACATCTCGGGATATGTCATTACTTGAGGTCTCCAGTTCTGTGGATTCCCTCTAGTTCAGGGCTGCCCTCAGTGTGGCCTGCAGCCCAAAATTGGCCTGTGATGACGTTTCTTTTGGCCTGCCAGAAATTTATCCTAACCTCATCCCCTCAACGAACAAGAGAACTAACATATTTTTATACTACAAACAACTCATTATAATCTTATTTTCCTTTTAATATTGTATTTTTAAGTAGTTTAGTTACAACATATAGTGTACACTCTTAAAAAAGATGCTTCTTGTCTTTTTGGCCCTTGGCCCACACAAACATCGCACTTTGGCCACCTAGTCAAAAATGTTTGGGCACTTCTGCTCTAGTCAAATTAAAGGGGGATTCCAACATTTCTGCATAATTGAACAGTTATGATGTAAAAAACGCGTGGTTTGATGTGAAATGCTCTTCTAGAGAAACAGACTGAGTCAGAGTTGTTCACTTTGTCAGTGATGAGAACCAGGCATCTGAAACTTTTAATGCCTCATCATCACAGAAAGTCATTACACAAAATACTTATGAATACAGCGCCTGATGATTTACAATAGTTTTCCTGAAGTTTTAGGCCAAAAATGTAATTTTTAAAATCAATTAATTGTGGAGAAATGCATGAAGGGTATTATAAGGCAAAATAGTACCCAAAGAAAAAGTATTTTTTTCAGATCTCAGGCTTCTAGTGGAGGATACATGGAAGCCCTGTACAGATTTTAGAGTGACATTACTACAAACACACAAAAAGAGGACGGACAGCATGGAGAAGAATGCACAACTGTAAATGGACTTTCCTTGTGTAGCAACTGTAAGGGGCTACTGGGCGTATTAGGGGCATGCTCTCAAGCAAACACTATAATAGGCTTAGTTTTTTGGTTGATATCAATTTTGATTGTGTCAGAATGGATCAGCCGTACCATCTCCCATTACTGATTGTTTGCCCCATTACTCTTGTGTCTGCCCTCCCCTCAACTCCACATTCTTCTGGGGTGGAAAAGGAACAGTGGAGGACAAGAGCAACAGCAAAAGATTCAGGACATCCAGCTGTTTTATTCCTGAATGTGGTGTACATTTCAGCTGGCTTGAAAAACCTTAACACACTCCAAATAAATCCAAATAACCTGGTTCTTAACTTATGTTACATCCCTCTTCCTCTACTATCAAACAAATCAAGCCCTGTTCTTATCTTCAATGGTATTTAACAGTTTCATATATCCCACTCCCCTGTTCTGAATAAAGTCCAGTTCAGTCCTGTATCTTCCAGCACATGTCAGCCAAATGTCCTCCCTTCTCTTCAGTCTTGTAAATCAGTCGTGTGTTGCCTGTAATGATCTTTGAACATGAATGCTATAGTATTACTCAAAGTCAAATCTCAAAATTCCTGCCATTTCTGGAATTCTGTTAATCACAGTTGTCTCTAAAGTTTGTAATTAAGTTTCTTTGCTGTATCCATATGATGGACCTTACATGTTCAGTTAGTGGTTAACAAAAAGCAATGTTCCTGATGTGGAACTGATAATATTGCCAAATGAAACTGGAAAAAGTTTGTGAATGAACTTTAAGCTGCCTTGACAAATGTATCCTAGGTGGTTGCGACTTTGTTACTAGTCCATAGTTATATTATACCAGGTGTTTGCTAAGGTATAGCTAGCCCTTGCTGTGTTGTCCCAGATGGTTACTAAGGTGTTGCTATGCCATTGCTATGGCATCCCAGGTGGTTGCTAAGGTGTTACTAGGGCATATGGTATCTTAGGTGGTTGCTTAGGTGTTGTTAGGCCATTACTATGGTATACCGGGTGGTTGCTAATATGTATGTATGTATGTATACATGTGCTGATATGGATGTATTACGTGAGTCTTTATGTAATGTCTATGAGGGGCAGTGTGAGGGATGTCATTTGTGATGTCATTCGTAGCAGTTAGATTGTAATCTTATCAACATTCTATCATTCTCTCTCTATGGGAAAAATTGTGTTTAAATGCACGGTGTACAAAAGCAGTATGTGCAATCGGTCCCAAAAGTACAAGCACACTATTCCCATATAGGCTCTATGTACTGTAAAACAGTACAAAAAACATTAAATAATAGGACAAGGACCAGGAAATTGCGTTTGTCAAATCAACTTAAAAACAAAGAACAGGTTGGCTCTTTAAAGCCGACTTAATAGTATGTTGTGGATTAACCACTTAGAACGGTATCACTATAATATAATTAGAGTACTTTTTAATATTTTTAAATTGATTCTCATATTGAAGTGGTTAAAAATCATCCAAATGATATCCCATTTCACAATGTTGTTTGTTCATTTACAAATACATAATAAGAAATCCAAGAGCTACTTCATGTTAGAGAAAAACAGTGTGAAGTGGGTGAAGTTCCTGCTAAAGCCTGAGTAGACTGATAAACCAAAGCGATAATCAGCATTACTAAACTTTAGTAATTTCACAAGTAATAAGCTTAGCATCGGTGTTGTACTGGAATCGTACATGTGTTTCATGGCAAGTTACATATGTTTTTACTTGTAAATCACATAGCCACCCTCTTTATAGTCAAGTTTGCAAGATTTTGTTATGGGGATTTGGCAAATTGTTAGCTTAGTTCATGGGACAGCAGTTGGAATATGGGAGCAGCAGTGAATCAGAGTGATTTTTTTTATGAAACATATTAACAGAATTCCAAGAATTACATGAAGAGTGTTCCCCATGTGCCTTATCAATATATATTCTAAACATATTCAAAATATTTAAACTAAGTATTATGCCCAACCATGCTTACAGTAGGCCACAGTTTGAATATTAGTTCAGCTAGTGCAGCTAATAAAGTAATGTGAACGTGTGTGTGTACACACAAGGCCTGGGAATCAATTCCAGAATACATTTGATGGTTTCCTAATGGGAGCTAAAGGTGTTTGAATTGTAACAAAGAAAGTGGCTTACAGTTAACTTCAACCTACAATCTACAGCCAGGGGATTTAAAAACAAACACAATTTTATACAAAAATATCAAAATGTCCACATAATTTCAGGCTTTTGACATCTTTCTTATTTTTGAAACCAGTAATTGTTTTGAAGTATTGTTTGGCTTCATTAACAAATAAAATTAAAATGGGCTTTTGATTATAATATTTATATTGATGAATATGGAATTTAGCTAGCAATAAAATAAGATTGATTGTATAGTATTTTTCTGCTTTGTAAGGGGAAATCTTTATAAAACCAAACAACAAAACAAAGAGAAAAGTTGCTACCAAGTTTTTTTTTGTGTAGTAAAAAAAACGTATATCTGTCCAAAAGCCATAAAAGTGAGGGCAGTTTCAAAATAAATGAAACACACAGGAATTAAACTGCAAAAAGAGCAATTAACAGCAGTGAGGTCACCTTCACAATGTGTTCAGTTTTGGAACTGGAATTTCTGGAAAGGAACAGCATAGTAAGGAGCTGGTGACATCCCATATAAATATAGATAATGCATGGCCTTATTAATGCGTCGGAACAAGATCCTAATGCGGGGCCACAACTTAGTAAGGTGTGCGAACGAGTTAATTAAGTTGTGGCCACAACTCAGTAAAGCGTGGGAACGAGATCATGCCTTACTAAGTCGTGGCCACGCATTAGGATCTTGTTCCCACGCCTTACTAAGTCGTGACCACGCATGAGGATCTTGTTCCCATGCCTTACTAAGTCGTGACCGTGCATTAGGATCTCGTTCCCACACCTTACTAAGTCGTGGCCACGCATTACTTTTATTTATGCAGGATGTCACCAGCGGGGCTCCGTAAGCTGGTATGATGTAGTTTACATCATTATGTAACGTTAACATTGCGATACCTTCACAAGCTAATGAATCAGTTGCGTATTTGCAGATGTGAAGTCTCCAGCTCAGTAAATGTGTTCCCATCCTCAGATGAGAGTCCGGACTGCACTTCATTTTTGGCAATAGATCTTCGTGCTTTTCCAGCCACAGCACGCTGTAATTTTGCGGTTTACAAACTTTTTTATTTGTTCAGTAAAATATCGAACGGCAGCGCAGAAGAGGCTCCATTCATTCGCTTGGCAGTAAATTAAATTGCAGCCCCGTTTTATCTACGCAGACTCTTCAGCTACTATAGGCTTTACGGTAAGTGCAGTATTAGGTTACTGGGGCGTTCAATGTGGGCTCCAGCTTTTAAAGTCTTTCTTGACCCAAAAGTTGGGCTCACTGCTGAGTAGTCAAAATGCTCGGACAAAGCATTAGCCTGGCGATCCTGCTGTGCTTCGTGGACGTCGCCA